TTGTTACTAAAACTAGAAAAATAAAATACCACAATAATTTTCTGTAACACAAATTAATATTCTGCAATTGTTAATGACACCAATATATTACTACTAGTTGTCAAAGAAAAGAGACAGTATATTACTACTATCTGTCAAATAGCATAAACCACTATTTGTTTTTTGAACCAGAATATGTCTTTATGAAATCACAGAAAATTAAATACAATGAAGATACCAAAAATAATTCTGTCTTAAGATTGTTGGACAATCTTCACTGTATTTAAATAGATTAAATTCTGTTGTGTACTAAACAACAATAAGAATATAAAGAAATAAATGAAATGAGAGAATTTGTTTGATTACAAAAATCAAACTAGAAATAAATAAATAAAAATAAATTTTATTTTGTTACAAAAACAAAATTAAAATCTGATTTAATAAATAAATAAAACAGAATAATAAATTAAACAACTTACTTGATTAATTTCTTCTAATAAATATCTGATCAAGTCCAGTGTTTGACACTGTGTCCTTAAGACAGATTCGTCCTCTCCTCGGTGCTTTCAAAATATGGACGTCTATCTCCCAGGACGAAATAATCAACTACAAACAATAGCAGCACTACAAACAATAGAAGCACTACAAATTGTTTGCCTAACGAACACACTAAGTGTTCATACTCTTTCTTACAAAAATTAAATGCAGCAAAATGAAGAATAAATTTACAGAGGTGAAGTACGAAATTTCTGAATGTATTTAACATCAAATGAGGGTTGTCCTATTTATAGATGTAGTGGTGGCTGCAGGTTTTGAATTAAACAGGTGCAAACCTGTTTGAACAGGTATGAAATCTGTTTGGTTTTGAATTTAAACAGATTTGATTCTGTTGGGTTCAAAATTCAAACAGATAAAAAAGGGGAAGGGCCCTGTTTGGGTGTACAGTAAAACCGGACCAATTTATTTTCGGAATTAATTTGCATTCTAAATTTTATTTTACCAAAAAATAAAATAAAATTCAAATGTTTTTGACCCAAAAAGAAAGGTATTGGGCCGGACAAGCCCAACACAACCTCACACCATGCACCCGAGCCCAAGCCTAGGCCCAGTCCGACCGGACAGACGGTGGCACGCGCGCGTATGCGTGTGTGGTGATTTTTGGGTCCAATGGATCTAGCCCATAACCTCCCTCTCTAAAACACTTGGGCACCCCTTGGGGCACACTCCAAGTTCCAATCTCATGCCTTATAAACCCATTCAAAACTTCCCACCAAATCAATGTGGGACAAGCCTTATTCAAACATTTAAGGATTTTCCACCAAAACTCCATTTTCATGGAGCATACTTTGGCTTCAATTTTCCATTCACTCAGTAATGGTTTTGAGCAACCAAATATACCACGTGAATCACAACGCGGTATAGAACGCATTACCACTTTGACCCGCGAAAATCAACGCACGCGGCCCACCTAAAAAATAGACCAAACTTTGGAAAAAAATTCTATTATTAACCTAGAATTTCTAAACCATTTCCAACAGCAATTACTTCGGTCAAAGAGATGGCTGCAAATAGCTCGGTCCATATACTCCGGTTCAAGGTATAGTTGATCAGTAACCGAGCTAAAGCATCACTTGTGGACGCGCCGAGCTGAATTGTAAGGGTGAGGTGGGACCGAGCTAGGTGAAGCTCAGTTAAATCTACCGCTTAAGTGTAGCAGTGTTAACTCGGTCGTGTTATCATTCAGCCGTAGTAAAACCATCTCACTTGGTTAAAGCAGTGAGGGGGGTGTAGAAAGACGAGCACTACCTTTCTGATTCCTAGGAGGACTCTGCATTAAAGAATAAGAGTCCTACTAGGATTGTGCCAGGCAAAATCTATAAAAGTTCATGACATGACCCATGTACAAGTATCACAACTTTGATTCTCAAATACACGAGCTTTTGTCTGTTTGTCTATTTTGCTGACTTAGGCATCAGAGAGGTATCCGGCACACACCCGCCAGCTAGCTCACGTTTGTGTTTTCAGGGAATAAAGCGACGACGTTTGAAGGAGCGCAAACTTGATCAACAGGATTATACGAGAAGATTATTTCGTGCTCGTACAGTGTATGTTCAAATAGTTAGTGGTGTGTTAATATAGGACTAGTATTGGAAAGTTAAGGTGTAAAATAAGATATTTTTAGACCCTAATTTTTTTTTGTGTGTGTATACTAAGTAATTGTGTGTATTGAGAGTATTAGTGGTGTATAAATAGAATCACCCTAAACAATTTCTAGGCCAAAAGCATAGCACATCCCCACTCTAATATTGGATAACATTTTCAAAAGTAAATATACCTTAATATTAATAAAGTAGACATTAGTTATATTTTAAGAATAAATAGTATATAAATTTCACAATTAAAATTTTAAAATGTTAATAAATATGAAAAAAAATTATATATATATTTATATAATAATTTAATACAAATAAATAAATAAATAGACAAATTACTCATAGATTGGCATCAAGCAACAATTCTCTAATAACTGAATTTAGGACAATAATGTTATAAAGTCAACGGGAAATTGGTTTTTAGGCTATGTTTAGTGTCTAATCTAGTTGCAACACTCCTAAGCTAACGCGTGCTTATTGCAACCTACAAAATTATTATGTAATGTTAACTAATCATTTACTGAGGCCAAGTTTGGGAAGATTAAATAAGTACACTTTTTGACTTTTTTTGTATTATGTATAAAAAAAAGTAGAGAGGAGATGTTGATTGATGTGACCCGAAAAAGATAAAAAGATGAAATAAGTGCACTTTTATTGGTTAGCCAAACTTAGCCTGAATATTTACTCATTGATAGATAAATTTTCTTAACTAAGTCCGGGTGTAGGTTTATAACATGACTCATGGTGTATCTAACTCAACTTGGTCTTAGATTTTTTTTTTTTTTCATACAGAAATATGTCTAAATATTAATTTAATAAATTTGAATATTAAGAAATAAAACTTTACCCAAGTTTAAATTTTTTTAATAAACAGACATAAATATGTACATATTTGTTATTTTCATTATGAACAAAATATTGAAGATATGTATTTATCAATTTAAAATATATTTACATAAATAAATTGATCAAATAACTCTTTAATTTGTATTGATTGATTTAATCATAACATGACTTATAACAGTTTGATTATTCATAGAATTTTAACATTTTCAAAAATATTCTTACACTTTTAAGGTCAATTTAAATTTATCTTACCATATCAATTAATTATTTTTGTAAACCACAATATGGCACACAGTAACTTGAGTCTTTTCAATAAAATATAATTAAAAAAAATTAAAAAACAGAAAACAAATGGAAGAGAGAGATAGAAATACCACCACAAAAAAAAGGTACTATTATGCCGTCTAACAAACTTTGATATGACAAATTATAATTATAAAAATTTTATAGATAGAATAAAATTGTGCTAAACAGAAAGTAATTTTTGTAATTTATGTAAATTTATTTATTTTTAATTTATAAAACAATATACTAATAGAAGACTTAAATAATTACCAAAACTTATTTAATCTTATCTATTTATCTATTTTTAAATTATTTATAATTAAAATTTAAATCATTGTCTGCACATATAGTACGGATGTTAAGTTAATATAATAATAGTCCCGTTTGTTAGAGCTATGGAAAAATGGTTATAGTTTATTCTTTAACCGCTTATAACTTATAATTGTGAATATAAGCTGATTTTTTATTTATAAATTAAGTTTCTCCTCCTCCACTTAAAGAATAAGTTGATTTTTGATTCACAAAAAGTTATAAGTTGTATTGTTAAGCTGAACCAAACACATCAAAATAGTTTTAATTAAGTTAAAAACTGAAATAAGCTGAAAATAAACCCTACCAAACAAGGCCAATGACTCAATTGTTTTTATTTTGAATTTGATAAATTGTGCATGCATCTAGGTGAAGTCATAATTTTTGTATAATAGGACAAAATCATGCTGAAATTTCATTGTGCTACGAAATTACTACAATCGTACTCTACATATATAAATCGAGAAAGACATTGTAAGAATGATGACAGGAGACCATTGTCCAAAACAATTTCGATAAAAATACGAATGACAGTCAAAAGACGATGTCACGTAGAAAAATTTTAGTATAATGCTTCCGTTTGGGAAGTGGGTTAGTTTTTTGGTTTTTTTTTGACTATTTTAGCCTGGGCTTAAAAGCTTGGTTTGGAAAGGGTTTTTTGACTTTTTGACTTTTTTGAGTGTTTTTGTGAGAGAAGAATGTAATGATTATGGGTTGGATGTGATGTTTTGTTTGTTATGGTTAAAATAACCTATTTTATTTTTTGTGACTAAAATAGCCAAAAAAACCTGCAAACCCACTTGCCAAACACAGGCAATGTTATTTTGAACATTTTAAATGAAAATCTTTCCTCGTTCTCGTCAAGTTTGAAATCCTAAAAAATTTAACCAGCAAACAAATTTATACATCAATAATTTTTTGTTATTAATAAAATCAAAAGATTTTTGATTTTCTTTTGAAGGAAAAAAAAAATGGTCCAGAGAGGTAGGAAAAGGCTGAAAGAAGGGGCCCCAAGTAGCAAGAGGAAATTTCCGGTGGTAAACGACAAAGACGAAACAAAACAAAAGAGGGCACAGAGCCTGAAACTTGATAATGAGAGTTGAATTCTATATTCTGAATAAAAATAAAATAAACAACAACAGCAACAAAAACAAAAACAAAAACAAAATAGGAAGCTTCGGGCAACACCTGTACCTGTACTTGTTGTAGTAAAGTTATGACAAAGGAGAAGAGAAGACTGGTTGGTGGTGGTGGTATGTAAATTCGAAGCAACCTAACCAAAACCAAACCAGGCCAAAAACAAACCCACAACATGGAAATAGGGTGGAGCGAGCGAAAGACGCTTTGATTGGCCGGTACCGCATACCCTCTCTCTCTCTCTCTCTTTTTGTTTTTTTTATTTTTTCCTCTCAGTGTATGTGCATGAATATTTATGTGTATGAAGAAGAAGAAGAAGAAGCGCTTTTTCTTTTCTTTTCTTTTCTTTTTTCCTGACTCTCTATAGTCTATACTACACACACTCACTCTCTATATCCTTTTTATTTATTTATTTATTTTTCAGTCAGAAGACAATAATAATATGTTTTCCGTCCACTGCTTCTCCAATTACTTATTACTCTCCCAAAAGCTTTTTTCTTTTTTCTTAAATTAATTTTGTTAAAATATATTCTCTGCTGCTGCTGCTGCTTCTTTTTTTTTAAATTCCACTTTGTCTCCAACTTGGAGGGCCGTGAGGACGGACCTATTTCGTTCAATTCATTTCCTTTTTCTCTTGTGTTATTTATATTATCCTCTCTCACATTCTTGAAAACCGAGTGATCAAGTGCTCTGCAATGCTGGTTAATAATAACGCCCAACAACAGCACCACCACCACCACCACCAATAATCATCATAATAATAAAGGAGTGAGTAAAGAGGTTTCATCAGCTAGCATATGAGTTTATTGAATTTTGATTTCTGGGATTTTTTTTTTTTTTTTTTTTGGAAACGTGTTATGTTCTCTGAATACGATAAAGCAGAGTCCGCGAATTCATTAGCAATTTTTCTGTAGTATTCTGTTTAATGGTTGGGGTTTGAGCAGTTTAATTAGCTCTCTCAGACTTGGATTTCATAGTTTAATAAATTTCAAGAGCCTGCCTGACCGGGGGACAAGGACAAGGAGCTTATAAAATTTTCTACTGTTGGGGAACAGTAACAGGATTGGCTCTGCTTTGAACTCCCCAAGTTTACATCGGAAAACATGGAAAGGTTTATGTTGGAAGTTTTAACTGGGAATGAGGATGGAAGCGGACGCGGAGAGTCGTTGGTTGGCACTATAAAGATTGCAGTATTACCCATAGCCAAGGTTTTTACAATTTGCTTCTTGGGATTTCTTCTCGCATTGTTTAACATCTTGCCTGCCAATGGAAGGAAGCTTTTAAACGGGGTAAGCTAATCAACTTTTTATTTTTTACTTTTTTTTTTTTATAATATAAATAGTCAAAAACCTTCTCCGCACTTTTCAGCTTATTATGCAGTACAAGCTCAGGCCCGGCCCTGAGGGTAGGCCGAAGAGGCCTGCGCCTTTGGCCACCAGATTTGGGCTGAAAATAGGGCCTCAAAATATGATTTTATGTTTTAGATATAAAAAAAAAAAAAAAAAAATTCAAATACTATAAGTCTAATTGTATATGGAGCTTAAAAAAAACAAAATATATCATGACAAAGTAGAGACCCAACTGATATGGGCCCAAAAACAAGAAACACATTATAATTTATAATACCTACTGAGGCTAAGAACGTAGGTCACTGAAAGAAAATAAACATTGGAAAATTAGAAAATTTCTGGAAGTATATTAGAAAATTTCTGGAAGTATAAACATTAGAAAATTTCTGAAAATTAGAAAATTAGAAAATTTGTGGATTTGTGATTATATAGAGTAGTCATGCCTCCTAGGAAGTATATTTTTGGATGTGAAAAAAGAAAAAAGAAGTAAAAATTAGAAAATTTTATTCAATCTCAATCGGGAGCGCTTGATAAATTTTTTGGTAGCAAGAAACAAATAGAAAGTTCATGTTTGGTTGATGAAGAAATTGTTATAAGTATATTTTTTTGTAACTACAAACAAATAAAAAAATTGTTGTAACTTATCGTTTTGTTCATCAATTTTTTTTTTTTTAATGTAAGAAAGACCCAATTTCCGAAGGTCGGGGCCCTAAATCTCAGGGCCCGCCTGTACAAGCTGGGAAAAAAAGGAGCCAAATGCTCCCTCTCTCGCTCTCTCTCTGACTATCTGATGATTTTAGAATATATTAGCGTGTGGAACTGCAGATATATGATTTTCTTGAATGGTGTATTAGAGGGGGTGGAATATTCTTAGTTTTATGTGAGTAGTAGTTTTTTGTGAAAATTCAGCAGCTTTGGTATTTTTGTCAACGGGGATCTGGGCTGATCAGGAAATCATTTACTGTTAAAAAAATAAAATAAAATAAATAACAACTAGATTCGGAGATGCCTCAACTTGTAGAATTGGTACAAGATACCAATGTAGTTTTCTAAAGATGCTGCAATCAATGGATGATAAGGTTTTATTTTAAGTGCAATATATGTTTCTTTTTCCCTTAAAAAAGTATCTTTCAGCTGTCTCCTTATTTTGTAGTATCTAATGATGCCCACCCTATGGGAACTAATTGATTGTGCAAACTATGTGTTGTGCAGTTGGTTTTTTCACTTTTGCTTCCATGCTTGATATTCTCTCAACTTGGGCAAGCCATCACTTCTGAGAAAATGATCGAGTGGTAAGGATTCCATTTTCTTTTTTCTCGTATATTTGGAGTGGCGATAGCAGACAGATCGATCTGGTGATTAAGTAGAAATTTTGCCCTTTCTACAGGTGGTTCATTCCTTTTAATGTTGTTCTGGCTACCATATCAGGGTCGCTTATAGGCTTAGTTGTTGCATCCATTGTTCGTCCACCATACCCGTTGTTCAAATTTACTATCATTCAAATTGGAATCGGTAAGCTGCTTCAATCTGGAGATAAATGTCAAGTTAGCATTCTTCTATTTCTGTGAAGTATGTATGCTGGTTGTTTGGTTTTCGTGTGGGCGTCTTTGGTAGTATTTTGAAGATGATGAACTTTGGAAGTGACAAATATATTGTAGTTTCTAGTAAACCAAAATACAGAACAAATTTACACTGATATTAATAAATGTAAGCTTATAGTTTTGGTTGTGATTGAATTTGTACAGAAAAGTGATCCTCTATTTTTTCTTGGATGTGTTCTTATGTGCTGGCATTTTCACAGGGAATATTGGGAATGTGCCACTTGTCCTGATTGGGGCCTTATGTCGAGATAAGTCAAATCCTTTTGGTGAATCTGCGAAATGTGCTGAAGATGGGACTGCGTACATCTCATTTGGTCAATGGGTAAGTTATGCAGTTCTCTTGTATATTCCTTGTTATGCTGTCAATCATCCTTGTGTTTCTAGGATCTTCTCCATAACATTTCAACGGTTAGATCAGTTTCCAAGAAAAGAATTTTTATTTTTATTTCTTATTCACATATATCATTTAGATTGTTACATGCATTACTGTCTTTGTGCAGAAATTGATATTCAGTTATTCCATTGTTAACTTATAGCTTGGCTTGATCGGCAGCCTAAAACTTAGAAAAATATAGCCTTTTGTAGATAGTAAATCATAATTATAGCTTTTTTCCATCAAAACCTATGAAAAATATCCTCTACAGGCAAAACCAAAGGTAAGTACTTAGCTTAACAATGCAATAGTACACAAGGTAACTGTGGCAATCCAAGTTTCACATTGTTTGGGAATCTGAATTTTTGTTGGTCTGTTTAGGTGTCTACATATTTCTGTGACAGAGAATTTTATTTATGCGTATCACAGTTTTCATTTAATCTTTGTAAAGAAGATGACTGACGTAGAATATTTTTATCTACATATTTAGGTTGGTGCAATTGTCCTATACACCTATGTTTTTGATATGCTCGCACCTCCTTCTGAAGGTACCTTTGACATTGAGGATATGAATATTCCCATCAAGAATCTTCCTAAGGAAAGTACTCCGGAGCAAGATCCCTTGCTTACACAGGAGGTTGTACCAACAAATTCAGATGCTCCAAAGAAAGGAAGGGTGAGAACCAGCTATATTTGCTTCCACATGTTGTGGCACCGAATGTTTTGTTCAGCTCTGCCAAGATTGCTGATCAAAAGAGAAATGATTTATGCTTAATGTAACAGGGTGATATTGGCAAGGCAAGAATTAGTTCGTATTCAATAAATCATTGCTTCAGCTTGCTTAGAGTAGCTTTCTTGTATGTTTAAATGACTAAGAATATCAGAACATGACATTTGACCGTTTATAGAGTAATATGAATTTTCCACTTTAGATTAGCCTTCTGCATATATGACTGGGTCACACAAAGGTAAGGTAACCCACCCTTGTAGACTAATTTTTTTTTTATATATTTTTTGTATATGGCCAATGGGAAACCTTATATTTGTATCTTTAATGTTGTTATCCATGCCCTCTTGAGAGTGATCTTATAAATATGTAGAAAAGTGCCAGCCTCACTATGTTAATTTTAATAAGTCATAAATCATCACTATATCATCCCCTCAATTTACAACTTCCTATTGTGATTAAAATGATATATTGCTTTGACTTTGCTGTGCAACTTTGAAAGCCTTTTATTAATAATAGGCTTGGTTAGGTTTTTTTTTTTTTTCAATTCAATAATCAATCTGCTCTCGTGCTGCTTATTTTACAGACTACAATGGTTGTTAGTTTCCTACATGTCACTTTTTTGATGCAGATCAAAGATTTTTTAGATTTTCTGTATGAGAAGTTGAAGCTCAAGCAAATTCTTCAACCCGCTATCATTGCCTCTGTAAGTTCAATCTCTTCAACTTCTGATTGATTGAATTTTTTTTTTGGGCGGGTGTGTGTGTGTGTGTGTGAGAGAGAGAGAGAGAGAGAGCGAGAGCGAGAGAGAGTGAGAGAGTGTGTGTGTGTGTGCTGGAAGACCTCCTTTCATTGGTTTAGAATTTTGGATGGTAATAGTAGACTCTATTTTTGGCCTTCGATTTTTTTGTCCGAAAGATTTTGGTGTACCAATGGAATTGGAAAATTTTTGTTATTGGACAATTTGATGTTTGGTTACAGTGTAATACAACGGGGATGGATTTCAAGGAGTAAGTATTTAAGACTGACATCTGCTTCCAATCTTCTTTACTATCCTGATCAATAGGTTTGAAAAATAATCCAGAGTATGTTTGTCAAAGCTGAGTTATTTTTATTTTTACCAATAAGCATACTTTTTTAGTGAACACTTGATGGTTGAGGGTTTTCTATATAGTCTGTTGCTTTGTCAGAATGGCTGGCTCTGTAATTGGCCTTCTACTTCAACCAGTTTTATTCAAACGTCATGCAAGAAATTTTGTTCAATCCCCCCCCTTCCCCTCCCCTCCCCATCCCCCTCTGCATTGTAGGGCTAAGCTGATATGCATGTCTTTGTTGCAGATTTTAGCAATGGTAATTGGATGTGTACCATTTTTGAAGCGATTAATTTTTACAACTGATGCTCCTCTTTATTTCTTCACTGACAGCTGCACGATTCTTGGGTATGCTCAGTTCCTCCTCTGCTTGTATTTTTTTTGGGTGTTTTCTTTCCATTGGAATTTCTTGGCTGTTTATGATTTTGATGCAACCATGCTCTTATATTTTATGCACCTATGTATATTCACTTCATAGCTTAATTTTTTGTTGCTGCATGAAGGAAGATTTGTTATATACATTAGGAAACAGTGTTTATATACAGTAGATAGCTCTAAATAACAACATTATGATATCTAACATTATGTTTCGACTCTCAGGGGTGCTATGATTCCATGCATTTTGTTAGCGTTAGGTGGCAACCTTGTAGATGGTAAGTCGATTTTGTCATTGGTCATGTCTCAGATATTTATAATGTCCTTTCATTGGGCATCTATGACTTGTATGGAACTCGGTCCTAGATTTATTTTTATTTAATTTTTCTTCCAGTTGCAGTGCATCGATTCTAAATGTGCCCTTTCCCCATTGCAGGACCAGGGAGTTCAAAGCTTGGTTTACGGACAACTGCTGCTATTATTTTTGGGAGGTTGGTTTTGGTTCCTCCTACTGGACTTGGCATTGTCATGTTGGCTGACAAGCTTGGCTTTCTTCCTCCTGGTGATAAGATGTTCAGATTTGTCCTCCTCCTCCAGCATACCATGCCCACATCTGTGCTTTCTGGTAACACCCAAATCTCAATGTTACCATAAATGCATATTTTTCAACATGAAACAATGAAGCCAAGGATAATTAAATTTAGTGTGTTGTTTTCACTCTGCATCTCCATCTCCATCTCCATCTCCATCTGCATTCACATTTATTCTTCCAATTATTGTGATGTGCAAAAAGCTGCCACCTCTGATCTTTCAAGTGTCAACACTAGACATCTGGGCTTTCTTTCTCCACGGTACAATAAGACCTCAAAGTCTCTGAATTATTAAGTCCTGAGCAGTGTGTCCTGACTTACCATGTATGTTTGTGTAGATATATTGAACTTCCAAAATTGATGTTTGCGAATAATACTATGAAAAATGGAAGTGTAGAAGAACCACTTTAACCAACCAACAAAACCAAACCTTAAGTCCCATCAAATAGGGTTGGCTACATAAATCCTTATCAAAGGACATTTAGTTAATCAAATTCATGTTTATTTGGTTCCTTTGTTTTGTAGGCGCTGTTGCCAATTTGAGAGGGTGTGGGAGAGAGGCAGCAGCTGTGTTGTTTTGGGTTCATATCTTTGCAGTTCTTTCTATGGCTGGGTGGATCGTTCTCTATCTCCACATACTGTTTTAGATTGCATTGGATCCTAACGCTGTTTGGGCTGAAAGGGAGAGAGAGGAGAAGGAAGCTGCTGTCCTGGTCTGGTCTGGTCTGGTCTAAGTTCATGTCTTTCATTTGGATGCATCATTCTCTCTCTCTCTCTCTCTCTCTCTCTGTAGTTCCAAGCATTCTGATGTATAATAGTTTTGTCAGCATGCTGCGGCTGCTTGTCACAATGGCATACCTGCCACTTTTGCAATTTTGTTCTCATGTTAATCAATGCTTAATGGCTCGATGGAAATTACGATTGTGTTCATTATTAGATGTTTATATTTATTTTAGTTTGCCGGCTGATTTTTATATTCTTCATGATTCTGCTGATTAGATGTTTATATTTATTTTAGTTTGCCAGCTGATTTTATTATTCTTTTTAAAATCAAGGCATTCCCCTAGAAGGAGGACAATGATTTTGCCTCTCTCCATATCATCAATTGTTGTAACAATGGAAAGATTTGGTTAGAGTGTAATACCGCCCAAATTCTAATAAAAATCAGTTACTGTCAGTATAATTTACCCTATTAATTATCATTTCCAGGTCTATCAGCCAATGAAAACCAGTCAGTCAACAAATATCAATTTGGATCAACAGCTAATAGCAAGTTCTGTGGTTGAAGTTGCTATTTCAATGTGGTCAGGCTATTGTCAACAACATTGTGTTTCAATCACATTAAGTTGTAACACTGGACACTTCAGGAAAACACATTGACTTTGAACCAAATCCAACTCATGAGAGTCAAAACAAACTCGTAAACAACTTCAATTCGTCAATAAAAGAATTCAACTAAAAGAGCCATATCCACTTAAAACCCTTCTGAATTCATGAAAACACTAGGTCAGGTACATACAAAACAAGTTACCAATAGTTTCAATAATATCATTATGACAATTAGAGAACTTTTTAAAAAAGAGACCACCACCTCCTGCTCCTGCTCCTGCTCTCCCTTTGGTTGGGTAGCCAGGAGGACCCAGGGCTGTGAGTTGGAGGGTGCTGTCCCTGTCCAGGGATGTCATGACGGCCAATTGGCCCTCTTCTTTCAGTTCGAGGGTTGCCTAACCACAACACAAGAACAATACCTACAAGACTCACAATTGGAGCAGCAGCAAGAAATAACCATCTTCCTCTTCCATTTTCACTGCCAGAGATCCCTGCAGCATGCTCCTCACATACAAAATCCGCCAGCTCTGTTCTATCGTTACTAAATTCACAGGATCCATCTGCCTCAGCATCATCATTGATGTCCGAGGAACTATCCTCCTCACTCATCACCTGCTGCTGGATTTCATGAAACTCTAGAGTTCTGCTAGTGTTCCGCTTCCCTTCCTCATAATCCTTATCATCAGTTGGAAGCTCATATCGACAAAGGGGGCACGAGTTCCGTGCACATAACCATGGTAAGATACAGGAAGGGTGATAGAGGTGAAAACAGGGCAGCTGATTTACCACAGTACCAACAGATAGAAAATCCTTGCAGATTGCACAGGCCAAACCATCCTGCTTCTCATGCTCCTCATTGATGACCACACGTGGTAAACTATTCACAAACGACACAGATGCAGGAGGCGCTCCTCGTCTCGAGTTGTCAGCCTCAGCAAGACGCTCAAGCAGTTCATCAAAGCCTCTTGCATCAAGATAATCCCCAGAATTCCTAACAAAAGGCAATAGTACCTCTGGTTCCTCCAAGTTAGTAAATATGTTAGTCATATATGTTTGCATCCTTTCCCTGATTCTCAAACGAATGGCTACCTCAAATTCAGGAGTATGAAGCTGTCTGCGCCTAGTTACAGCGCCATTGCTTTCACTTGGATCTAATGAACTTTGAATCTGAGCACCTGCTGAAGATTCCACAGCATTTTCATCTGCATCAGCTTCTTCCCATTCATTATCTTCTTCCTCTTCTTCATCCTCTTCCTCTACCTCTTCTTCCTGGTCATCTGAGTTCCATTGGCTGAGACCCGCACGCATAGGGTCAATATCAGTGTCGCTATCAAGATCACTTCCTGCATCTGGATTGTTAAACATTTCCATATCCAGGAAACTATGTCCATCCACAGAAGCATCAGAATCCCCTCCATAAGCACTAAATGAAATGGCATCACTCTCACTCTGGAAAGGCCTGTACCCACTAAAGCTGATATTCGATTCACTCTCTCCATAAACAGAATCAAACCCATCACTTTCAGTATCAGACACTACCCTCCTCCATCTTCTGGACCCACTTGGAGTAGTTCGGGAACTTGTGCGCTGCAGGAATCTTGCGGCAGCATCACTGTCTGCAATTTGACTCTCGTGATCAGGTGCAGTTGGTTGGCTTTGCCTTGCCAGGCTAATCATATGTGAAAACTGTTGTGAAAAAAAATTCTCAATTGACTCAGAACTGCCGTGTCTGGTTCTTCTAACTCTGTTTCTCCTCCTTGGATGAGCTTCTTCTGTTGAGGTTCCAAATTCTTCTAGAAACAAAAACTTACAATCTCCACATATGCTAACATCAAGATCCCCAGCATCATTATCAGGTGAAAGGACTCTTTGGCACAATACACATGCCGCTGGAAGGTCAGAGTGGTCAACAGCTGAAGCACCATTCATGTGACCAATCAGTGTGGATTGATGCAACCCCCATGAGGTACTTTCTGAATCCTCATCCATCTGTTACTGTGCCGAAAATGAGCAGAAATAAACTCAATGAGAGATGAACAAAGCACCACAGAAAGATAATGTGAAATCATCAAAAGAACTATAAAGTTGAAATCTGTATACAAAAACTGATCAAATGAAAGGAGAACCCAACCAAGTGCACGTAGTGCATCATTTGGTTTGAGGGAGAGTCAGAGGAAAGAACTATATACTAAACAAACACAAAAATCTGTTGCATTAATTTTTCAAGGCTTATGCTGCTTGAGGCACATACTACTTACGATAAAAAGAGTTCATATGGAATGCAACTAAAATCTGTGACTTGATCTACAAAATTCCTTTATCTAGAGAAAATGAAAGAACAAAGAAAAAAAAGAAAAAAATATATAGTGTTGTATATATATATATTAAAAAGGGCAACCCAATGCACAAAGCTACCGCTAAAGCGGGGTTTAGTAAGGGCAAGAAGTACAAAGCCTTACCCCAATTTTCAGACAAGTTGTTTATGTGACTCGAACTTGTGACACTAGAGACGGCAATGGCAAGCCTTACCATTAGGTTTAGCTGCCCTTACAAAAAAAATAAATAAACAAGAAATTTCCCTACTATTTTTTCCCTACAGCAAATAAATCTACACATTATTATGTCTTTACTGAATGGTAACATGAACTCAAAACATCAATATTCATCATATACATCAAGCTTTAAACACTTCTACAAGGCTTTCGAGGGCCAAAAAGCCAACGCACATAAAAAATAATCAAGATAGACAAGCAAAATAAGTTTTAGTCTAATAGCTTTCCATCTGGTATTTTCCTTTTGAATTATGTGCTAATGTTCATTCTTGGATTCTATTGATTGTTTCTCATGTTTGGAACTTCATGGGGCCAGTGAGAATGCATTATTTTTTACTTGCCAAAATAAATTATGGCCAACCAAACTCAGCGTCATTATTCCGCTCTCCCCGTATAGCGCCAACTTTATTTTTCATTTTACAAATTCTTAGGCCCTTGTGATTTTTAGAATTCAGTATCAATTTGCCACCATCTTGGTTAAAAAAATATGCAAGTTTTTCCAACTACCTTAGCACTTCCTTTAGCTATCCAAAACTGAAGAAACAAAGAAGGGGAGAATTCTGATAAATGATTGAAGAAGGAAAAAAGGCAGTTTACTGATTTTATTTATTTCCCCCCATTCACTCTAAGTATGATGCTCTAGCCATAACTATTGAATTCAATGTTGAGTTACAATAAAAAAGAAAGATTTTCTAATTATTTATCCATAAGATGATGATGCTTTAAACTATAAACTCTGATCAGTCCCAGCTTGGATATGTAAATGTAATTGTGGGTATAACAATAGTGCAGTTCCCAATAACCAAGTAATAGCAGCAATGAAGCCACAACCATAAACCACTAGTTTTGACCATTTAAACTAGCAAGATACAAGTAGGAGGTGTATCATTTCTAGCAACCATCATGGGTACATGATACTCTTAACTGGATTATAGTGCATGCATCAGTTTTCAATTATATGTGATAAAAGTCTGTTATGATTGCCTCATCTCGTGTATGTATGTATACAGATTCAAATCCATATTGTGGCAGCAGCTAATTAAAATTCAAATCAATTTAAGAGCTTTCTGTATATGTTGATTTTCAGAATAATAAAAATAATAAATTCAAGAAGATAAGAATGTGAAATGCAGAAAACACCACAACTCATAACAGACAAACCCAAAGCTAACACAAAGAAAAGAAAAGAGAAGCAAATGTAAGATAGACTTCGAAGATCACCTGAGGCGAGACTTTGTCAAACAAAGTTGTTATGCAGGAGGAGTCAGTTTGACACCGATCGTCAAAATTTCCAATACCAACTAATGTTGTCTCCGATTCGCAGATTCCAACCAGAAACCATTCAAAAAAAAAGAAAAGAAAAAAGCTTCAACTTTTGGGCAAACTATTCACACACACACACACACAGAGAGATAGGGTTTAGGGTTTGTAGATGATAGATCTGAAAACGAAGTAGTTAGTTAGGGTTGAAGAAGGGAATCGGGATTTAGATACAACCAACCAAAATATATATGTATGCCTGATAATGTGTTAGTTGAATTCAAGGAATCAATGCGAATTGAGAGATATTCAAGCGTGTTTTGTACAACTTTTCTTCTTCTCCTTTTTTTTCCAAAGAAAGAGAAGAGAAGTGATCAAAGAAGGACAAACCCAAAGACTGAGACTAGGTCATGTCATTGAAGATTTTTCTTTCACCTTCTCTCTCTTTTTCACAGTGGGATGAGTTTGGTTGGTTGAATTTCGAAGAAGTAGAAGAAACTGGGTGTGATGTGATGTGTGCGTGAGCACCACTCTGCAACCTCGACGATGCAGATCGATTTGGGAGTCTCTCTCTTTCCACACGTTTTGCTCTGCTCACACACTTGCTAAATATAAAATAAAAAATTATGGTTAAATTACAAACACATTCCCTAACGTTTGATTAAAATACGAATTATCTTCCTGATTTTGAAAATTATATTTCGCTCTTAATGTTTTTAATTTTAAAATAAGTCACACATTTTATTAAGAAATTATCAAGTCAATTAACAGTTTCCAATAATGTTAGAAATATGTTTTAATTAATAATTTAGGTAATTTTATTATTATATATGAGAGCAATTATAATTTCATTTTTTCAGTTAATTCTGTTAAATAAAAAATTATGACAAGGGAGTATTCGTAATTTTTCAAATCATAAGGGATAATTTATATTTTAAGAAAACCTCAGGAGGTGTATTTGTAATTTATCCAAAAATTATTCATTCTTTTTTATTTCAGTTTTCAGAAAATTTTACTTTTTCATTTTCCGTATTTTTTTGTTTTTACTATTTTTTAATATTTTAAATAATTTTTTTAATTTTTAAACACTCCTAACATAAATACACTTAAAAAATATAATATTTATGATTTTTTTTTTTAAAAAATTCATTAAATATAAAAAATACAAAAAAAAATTAAAATTAAATATATTTTTCATATTTTTGTGTATTTATTAATTTTTTAAAATATTTTTTCCCAAATATTTTACTATTTAAATACATCTAAGGAATGTGCATCTAAAAAAATAAAAATAAAAATGGTTAAAATTTTAAAAATATTAACTAAAAACAAAAAAAATACTAAAAACAGAAAATTGAATTTAGAAAACTGAAACCAAACACACTGATTATTATTATAACTGTATATTAAAATAAAATTCTTACCCTATCTATAAAAAAATAATAAAAAATAAAAATATTACTTTCTTCTCTCAAACCTTAATTCCTAAATCAATTGTATTTAACTCTCTTTGATATTTAATTCATATAACATTAATTTCATTTTTATCTGTAATTTATTAGTCATTTGAAAGAGAAAATCAGTATAATTATATCATTTTTATCATTAATTTATTAGTTATTATTATTTTAATCTTATTGAAAGACAGATCATATAATTATATAAACTTGTAGAGTTTATTGTATTTTTTCTAAAATGAAACAATTTAGACTCAATCCTTGCAATGTGGACGAAAATCCTACCGGATAGAGTTAAACCTTAGTGAATACAATTATTAGTTCTAATGAAAGTAATTTTGTGCTTGTGAGAACCACTAATAATATTATTGCTATAACTCAGCAAATCATTCTTACTTTTAGGGAATAAGAAAGTTATAACTGGTGGCATGAAAATTAATTTTGCAAAAGTCTAATGACAGAATTTTACGGGATTTTCTCTAGTAAAGACTCAATAAACTTAATTTTGCCTCAAAATTGGATTAAGTAAAGATTCTCTCCTAATCTTTTAGTGCTTTGTGTGGAAAGATTGTTTAATATTCTGATTGACAAGGTGAAAGATGGCAAGTGAAAAAAGGGATTAAAGCTTCTAAATAGAATTAATGCTCAAGAGATGTTAATGCTGGAGGGAAACTACCAAAGTAGTATAAATCAAAGGAGATGATCTCAATCTGCCATTTAGATACTTGAAATGGGAAACATAAAATAAAACAAAAAAAGAATGCATTTTATAACAAAAATCTTCTAATTTATTTTTAGAGCAGGGAGGGAATTAGTGGCATGCAATAATTGGTTTCCAATTTTTTGGCTCATGTCTTAAACACTCTCTCTGTCAACTCTTAATTCAGAAATTAACAATTATTTTAACACATTGTGATAGGAAGAGAAAGAGAATAGAAGAGAAGAGAGTTTGCATCATGTCTTACTAAAAACTCTGGAGTGGTGCAATGGCAGTTAGGAACTGCTCCTGTGCAGTGGTAGTTTGTGTCTTTATATCTCTCTTCCCCCACTTTTTTGTTTTTGTTTTTGTTTTTGCTTTGAATCTAGGAGGCGCTTGCATTCTTTGCTCACACCACTCCTCAAACCCAACTTAAATTTCTTTGAATGAAATTAATGGGTTTATTTCCTCATATGGGAGATTTGGAATATTTTTTAGTTCCCATACCATACATATTCAGAAGAAAACTTCCCCCTTCTCTCTATTTTACAGCCGTTACCAACTTGTTTTTCTCCCTTACCCCAATTGCATACTCACATCACAGCTAGCTCTCTCTCTCTCTCTCTCTCTCTCTCTCTCTCTCTCTCTCACTCTCACACACACACACACATATAAAGTCTCTTCCTCTATCTCCCTCACATATGCCTTTTCATTTTCATTTTTTGTTTAAAATTATTTTTCCCAATAAGATTAAATTAACTGAGCTATTGATTTCTGTAATTCGTGTGCATGTCCAGGTAACCTATGACATGATATCTATGAAACTTCGCAATAGCATCTTCACTTTTCCCTGTTTATGCATGTAAATGGTTGTATGTATGAATATATAGGAAAATACAAAGATCAGAGTGGAGAGATGGGCAAGGAAGGAGAAGCCCGCGTATCTCAGCCCTTGATCCATGGAAGCCAGTGCCACACCAACCAACACCACCAACTAGTCCCTCCTCATTTTCTTCGCACTCACACAACTACTTGCGGATGGAGGAAGACCACCACCACCACCGCCACCAGGGTGCCCCATCCGATACCATTACCAGGGCTAGCATCAAAAGAAAACTCCAACAACCTTTACTTAATTCTCTTCTAACCAAACCCAAACAGGTCTTTGCATCTCTGAATTTTATTTTGTAATTGTATGTATATATTTGTTTCTTTCTTCTTTTAATTATCAATTGTTATGTTCTTTTATATAATTATATTAGTTTCTTTTATATATTTTTATTAGCGGGTAGGGCTTGGGGATGGACAACAAAACGATAGTTTATGTGCTTGTATTTCAATCCCAAAAGTCTTGGAAGACATAAGGCAAGCCACAGAAACTAGTACAAAGTTGCGTGCCATTCATGCATTCTAGTTTGCATATGACATAATCCTGTACAATAAATATATCATTATTTTCAATGCAAGCTGTCGTTGTAGTTTGTTTGTTGTAATAGTGAATTCTTTGCATCAACCTTTTTTCATTAATTTATTTTGTAGATTTTTTCTTATTAATTTGTTTGTTTGGTGAACTTGCTACGATAGCTAAATTATTTGGTATCACCATTTTCTGTTTGTCTGGCAAGTGGAGACGAACAGATATCACTCAATAATTCTTCAAGATTGTAATAATAAAGATTGCTTGCAATCTGATCTTAAGGGACTATTTGTGTACATGTAAAATTATTTATGGGCATCAAATCTTTAACATGTTGTATAAGTGCTGGTTTCAAAGTCCATTTCAAATTACGTGCAGGGCATAGAGAACCCAAATCATGAACATCATTCAACCAATAGTGGTGAGTCATTTTGCTCCATAACATATGTCACTGTGTTAATTACACAAATTAAGGTTTCTTACTCGATGGCATGTCACATCACTACGTAATTCAGCTGTTTCCTGAATCAGATCAACCATTGGTTATCAAACCTAAAGGAAGTGCAAAACTTGATGATAATGCTACCTCCACTGGTTGTGCAATTTTTTTGTCAATTTTGCAAATTTATCATATCGATCATGAGAATGAGGATAATGTCTTAATCGTAGCTTGTTATCGCTTCATTAGGTCAACCATTAGTTATGTCACCCATTCCATTCATGCCAGTAAGACGCATCCTTGAGCTTGTCTTGGACATATTGCAAAGGTGAGTACTACTCAAGTGTATTTTGCACCTTTTGAAGTTTAGGATGGTGAAAGGAGAAAATGATTTAGGAAGAAATTTTACAATGATATATTTCTTGGAGGAAATATTTTGTTGTTTAAACTTTTTTCTTTTGGTATCAGGCGAGATACAAATGAATTATTTACTGAACCAGTTGATCCCAAAGAGGTTTATTTTTGGTTATTGATTTCATCATTTGATTGTTTTGGTCCCTATTAACCCACTATAATTGATGAGATTTCGTGCTTCTATGTAAGGTTGAGGATTATTACGAAATTATTAAAGAGCCTATGGATTTTGGCACCATAAGGGCTAAACTTCATGGAGGAATGTATACAAATCTTGAGCAATTTGAGGTTTGTTCCATTGTTGAAAGTTACTGTCATAATTGTTAATCTACTTCCCAAGTTAAATTGTTCTTCACCATCTATTTAGTGTCTGTTATAATATGCAGCATGACATATTTTTAATACCAAGAAATGCGATGCATTTTAACTCCACGGGTACCATTTATTTCAGACAGGTATTGTTACCAGATTTTGCATGGAAGAATTGTAGCTAACATGAAGATCTTGATTTTTCTCCATTAATTGAATACCATAGTCTGATATTTCACAGGCTCGTGCCATATATGATCTAGCTAAGATGGTTTTTCATGTTCTAAAAACTGATTTTGAAAACTTTGAATTGGAGTTCTCGGAGACAAGACAGAGACCACGTAGAGGGCCCCAGGGAGAAGCCAACGGTTTGAATTTTAACTCAAGTCCTAGGTTCGCTACAAATGTGCATGCAAGTCTAGTTGTAAAATGTAGTTTAATTGTCTTGTGTTCCTTACATTCTGTAAACAGGTGCTAGAGATGGTAGAAGATCTAATTTTGTTGAAGTGGATCGGCGTTGCACATATAAACCATGGTTATCCTTCCACAAAGAAAATGATTCTATTTTTTCAACAATTCATAGTGCCCCACAACTACTGTCTCCTGTAAGATTCCTTTCCTACTGTTTCATTCTAGTGAAATGATTTCTTTTACCTGTCTTATAACTATTTGCATCTCTTTTAACTCTATATTTTCATTTCTAGATTGTATTAAACCATCTAAAAATTGGCCTCACTAAGACAATTTCACGTGCTCTAATACATCTAAATTGTTTATGGTTGTAGTTTTGAATCGCTTTAGTACTTGCTTTATAAATGATAAAGATTGACTTGTTAGATAATCCTGATTATCTAAAGTGAGGATAATTACTTGGTGATTGTGGCTGTAGGTGAATGAGTGTGATATTAGCTACAGGGAAAGTTTGATGTTGTTTGCTAAAGGTTTAGGACCAACAGCCCAAATGATTGCCTACCGAAAGTTACAAGGATGCTTGCAAGATGCTCCCAATTTTCAAACTCCAGCTTCAGACTCTATCAGACAAGTTGCTACATGTCAAGTTCCTGCTGCATTTGCCTCTGCTGATAATGGTCCTAGTACTCTGGATACATTAATCCCAAATACGTCTTGGGACTTATTTGATCCCCTTCCTGGGTGTTGTTCAACCCTTAAAACAACAACTACTGACGTAATTGATTTGACTGACGCTGATGATGGAGAAAAGGCTGATACGAGTGATAGGATGGGTGATGGTAGTGCTTTGGGGGGAAAAGTTGTGACCAACCGCGAAGGTGATGGGAAGAAGACTTTTAGTATTAGTGACAGAGACAAGGTTGTTGAGAAACAAATCAGTAACACTCATCTGGGATTGAGTTCTTCCACTTGTGGAGCTGAAGTTTTGAATTCCTGCAAGTCTGTGGCTGCAACAGTGGAGTCGAGCAAAACAGATAGTCAAGTGCAGCCATCGAATTTAGCTTCAGAGAATTCTTGCTCAAACATCGGACACTCCGGATACTAATTTGGCTTTAAGGACTTTCAGAGCAACTTGAAACTTTGAACAAGTAAAAGCCGAAAATGTTAAAACATTCTGAAAAATTTAAAGTGATCATGTTACTTGTAATTGATGTTTAATTTTTATTTTTCATGAAAAGTTGTTGGATTGTCTTTGATGATTTCATGACAAGTAGTATCATAGCGCTGATATGTGGCTTTAATAGTTGAGTGGTGGATTTGGGCTTGTTTAATTCACAAGTAATTAAACAAGGAGAAACATTACATTGGGGCACATCACATAAAATCCCTATTATACTATTATGTATGATACATTAAAGTGACAGAACATATCATGCACATATTGAGGCTGAGTTGGAATCCATTCTCTCTCTCTCTCTCTCTCTCTCTCTCCAACTTTGCAACTTTACAAATAGTTTAAAGATTGAATAATGCTTGGGACCCCTTTTGGGGGTCACCCTTCACCCCCTTTGCTACGTGGCAGGGTGATTGGAGGAGCAGGAAAAAAAAGAAAAAGAAAAAGAAAAGGTAACCAATGAGAGAGAGAGAGGGGGTCAAAGAGAGTGGAGAAAAAGGGAGATGAATCATTACTCTTAAAGATTATGTCTGGATTTATCAATTTGAAAATAAAGGATTTGTGGGTATTTATTAGAAGAATGGCTCAAATTTATATATTTATTATTTCAAGATCACTCATAGTAGCTTAAAATGTTGTCATTTTCTTTTTTCAATAAGATTTGATCTCAAATCATTTTATATAAAAACCATGAATTCAAAAGAAACGTATAAACCAAACCATATTTATTTATAGGTACCTGAATTTTATATTTTTTATGGGAAGAAGTTATGATCTATTATTATAGAGTTTTGCTTGGAAGCCGTTCAATTGCTAAAAACCAAGGGTTGAGATGACTGAATTCCAGACATACAATAATTTTCTCCCTCCCCTCCTAAAAAACAGGAGAGTTGGTTAGACGTGATTTGATTTCCACACGCACATCTCTCTATCTCTCTCTCTGTCCCTCTTTTGCTGGGAAATAGTCGTTGCGGTGGTGGTGTTCCGGTGGATCAGTTGGTGGCGGCGGCGGTGGTGGTTGATTAGACTGTTGTCTCTCTGTCTGTGTCTCTGTGTTGTGTTGTGTTGTGTTGTGTTGTGTTGTGTGAAAATGGCATACAGAAGAAGGCAGGGAGTGGCGAGGACTTCCACCTTCAAAGAGGAGATTCATTACCCTCCTCCACCAGATGGGAACTCATCTTCGTCTTCATCTCTTGCCGCTCAGGCCATCCGAGCCTCCGCCGCTCATCGTGATTCCTCCTCTCTCTCCTCCGCTTACGCCGACTCTGCTTTCAGACAAAAACCCGAGGTTCCCCCGCCCCCTACCACTCTTAACCCCCTTCTCTCTCTCTCATTTCTCTCTCTCCCTCTCCCTCACTGTCTCTTTTCTATCTAATGGATTTCGTGTTTGATTGGGATTTGTGAGAAGATTTGAAAAGAATGATGAAAATGTCAGAAAAAATATAAATAAAATATATTTATATTTTATTTATTTTTACAAGTTTTTTTCTTTATTTTCTTTTTAAATTTCCATCAAACAAAGCAAAGCGTAAGCATCTCTAGTCCTTCCCCAATTCTTTCCTCTATTTCATGAATAAACAAACAGCTAAAACTCAACTCCAATTAAACTTGTATCATGGATGAATTACTCCTTCACCAAATTTCTAACATTGATATTTTTACTTAATTTTGTTGAAATTTTAAAAATATTTAAGAATTGGATATGATTTTTTATTTTATTTTAAAAATTATTAAATGATTAGGAGAGGTTTGGGATAAGTTTGGAATTCTTAAAAGATTTGATGCTAAAAAAATAAATAAAAGTTAGGATTGGACTGCAGCATATTTAAATTAAGCTTTTTAATCAAATTTTCACTCAAATTTGATGAAAAATGAGAGTAAGGATTGGATTGGAGATGCTCCTTTGTACCTTCTATCTCATCTACATGCATATACGTCATTACACATGTGCTTGTACATATCTTGATGTCGGAAAAAGGGGATTGATTGTTTTACCAAGATTTTATGTATGTATTGGATTCTTTTGTTATAATAAATTATCATGTAAATTCATTGGATCATCCCTAATGGTGCATCAATTTTTTTTATTAAATTTGAGGAAAAGTTTCTTTTGATATCAAGTGCTTTAACAGAGAATTTTGGAGCTTCATGAGAACATCGGTCCACTGAGCGAATGTTTGGCCGGTCGATCGGGCAGTGTAATTTTATTTTATTTTTTTGCCTTGAAGCGGACGACCGGGAGGTCAACTGGCCAGTGCAATTTCTTTATAAATTTTTGCCTTGAGATGGTCATCCGGGAGGACATCCGGGGGACATCCGGCAACGGCTATTAACAGTAATTTGATGATGAAAGGCACATTAGTTCTCAATTTAATAAAAAATAAATAAAATTTTGAATTTAATACCCATTTGATGAAACTGTTGGAGCAGAAAAATGAGGCTTTTTTCACCAAAAATTTGATGACATGATTGTTTTACCAAGATTTTATGTATGTATTGGATTCTTTTGTTATAATAAATTATCATGTAAATTCATTGGATCATCCCTAATGGTGCATCAATTTTTTTTATTAAATTTGAGGAAAAGTTTCTTTTGATATCAAGTGCTTTAACAGAGAATTTTGGAGCTTCATGAGAACATCGGTCCACTGAGCGAATGTTTGGCCGGTCGATCGGGCAGTGTAATTTTATTTTATTTTTTTGCCTTGAAGCGGACGACCGGAAAGTCAACTGGCCAGTGCAATTTCTTTATAAATTTTTGCCTTGAGATGGTCATCCGGGAGGACATCCGGGGGACATCCGACAACGGCTATGAACAGTAATTTGATGATGAAAGGCACATTAGTTCTCAGTTTAATAAAAAATAAAATAAAATTCTGAATTTAATGCCCATTTGATGAAATTGTTGGAGCAGAAAAATGAGGCTTTTTTCACCAAAAATTTGATGACAAATCCAAGTAACCATTGGTGATATGGTTTTAGTATTGGGATTTGGTGCCAGTCTGTTTTGTTTGTACATAAGTTATAAAATAGATCCACGGTCAATTTTGATGACCAAGAAACCATTCTTTCTTCTGTTTAATTTGAGTGAGGCTTGGTCTGGTTTTATTGTAATTTGTAAAAAACCATTTACCATGGCTAAAAACCTATATCATATCATATCAAAAGGAGAGAGAAAGAGAGAGGGAGAGGACCTGATTGATTTGATAATTAGATTTTATTTAATGCTAACTTGGTTAAACTGAATTCAACAAGGCCTTAGGTTTACCTGTTTGGACACCTATAAGGATTGTTTTTCTGTTAGTTTTACAATTTTTTTCAGTAAGTATTATGAAGTTGTAGTGTTCTCTTTCTAGCTGATGTGATGTCATGTGATGTGATGCTTGAAAACATAGGAATTTTCTACCTATGAATATGAATATGCATCGATGAAAAGTTCAAACAAAACCAAAGGATTTTGGGGTGTTCTAGCTCAGAAAGCTAAAGGAATTCTCGACGAGGAAGATAATGTCTCCCAGCAATTTGAAACACCTAGCAGGATGAGGCCCCAGATGCATGATAACTCTACAGGTGGACAGGTGAACATTAGCTTCCAACAATACTTGTATCATTATGCAGGAAACTTCAATCCTGAAATCCAAGCAAAACTAAGCTTCATAACCCTTTCTTTTAAGCTTTTCCTGTTCTCTTCTTCTATGGGTTGGCCATATTTATGAGTAATGTTACACAAACTAACAAATTTTTTACGAACTTTTTTATTCACATGAATTGTCCCCATCATATTAGTCAAGGGGGTTCTATTTCAAATTCCAAAGTTTCTTCGCTGGGTGCCTCGTCCGTTGGCAAAGAAGTTTGTGTAGTTTTTTTAGTTTGTGTAGCATTTTCCCATATTTGTATCCTTACCAGACTTCCTTATCTGGTAAATTTATATCCTTCCCTTCTTGCTTTTCTGATTACCAGTTCTACCAGCCATATCAATCACTTGAGAACTCTAGAAAAGTGGACAATCCTAGATTGCGGAAGGGCCTGGATGCATTCACATCTTCCCTTAATCACATTGGTGACAGCATTGGAAATGCCTTGGAGGTAAAATATTTCAGATGATATTTCTGGAAATTAATTCATAAATGGATCTCTACAAATTCAAGTATTTTTGCCCAGTCAATCTTAGGCGAGAAACTGACTCTATTTTCAGTTAGTAGTCTTTTTCTTTTCTTTTTTTTCCAGCTTTCAATAATTCTGTCAAACTTCAAATTTCATCCATATCCCTAATGGGCCTAATCTTGATGCAGAAAATTTTACAGCTGCATTCTTTTCCCCTTTTCTCTTCTTTTTCCAATCTCACAACTATGGTAATTAAGGTTAAGTTTATCGATTCTGGACATTATTTATCTTCTTACAGTGTCGTATCAAGTATTGATTTTTCTTTCGAACTGTTTGAATACTCAGAATAAATTACTTTTTTTTGTTTAAGTATACATATATCATTACTCAAAAAATTACCAAGGGATTGCCCACCCATATACAAAAGGAGAAGGTCCTCATAACCCAAAACATGTAAGAAAACAAAACCACAGCAGGCCCGAATAGTTTTGAGTTTCTATATGAAATTTGCTTAAGTTCCAACCCTAGACACAGATACATAATAGTGTAGACTGTTTATCTATCGCTGAGCCCCTTCTTTGCATACTTTGTGTGTTTTGCCTCTTCTATTTTTTTTCTTTTTTTTTCCTGCCCGTCAAATTTTCAATGATCTGATTCAACGGACAACCATCAGATGGTTAGTTTTGATATGACCTTCAATCTTGGTTTCAGTAAGAGTCCAACCTGTTATGATTAAAAAGGACAGGTGTGGAAAAGCATTGGCTAATTAAATGAGTTGAATTGGCACCCAAAAAGAAAAAGAAAATAAAAATGGGACTACAACTATGGACTAATAAATGTTGCTGTAATGTTCAGCCTCGTTCTATCATAAAATAAGGTTGTATCTAGGGTGCAAGCCGAGCAGGGTCTGGGGGAGGTGGTAGGTAGGCAACATTACCCCCACTTTTTTGTGTGGAGAAGTTGATTCCCCTGGAGTGCTAGGGGATAACACTTGCCATTGCTCTAGGTCACGACCTCTAGAAACTAGATAGTCTCTTTCTCTAGCTAGTTAATTTTATACCAAATCTAAAGAAACAAAACATGTCTTTCTTCTGATTTCATTATTTTCTCTTTTCAGGAAGGACGGACAATTATGGAGAATAAGACTGTAGACATTATCCACGAAACCCGCAAACTGCAAATTAGGAGAAAAGGAAGCAGTTCTGAGGAACAGAATCAGGTCCCTGGAGTATATAATCCATGGCAACAACCTTCAGTGCAATCCACACAACCGCAGATGCAAACCAACCAAGAAACTCAGCTCAAGGCATCTCGCGACGTAAGGTGCAATGTGTAGCGTATTCCTGGTTCATACATAGAAGTGTACTAGATTTTAAACCAAAAAATCAGTTTTGATCTAGTTAAAGTTATCAAACCACTCCAATTAATCAGCAAAATTGGAATACAGTGATTTTGCTATTTTTTCACTTATTCAACCGCAGTACCAAACAGTACCAAGTATTTAGCCCAGCATTAAGTGTACAGCAATTCAAATTGATCTTAAAATAATGACACTAGTACAAAGAAAGTATTTCCAGTTCCTAGAATACTTCTCTGGCTCAAGTTATAATCTTATTTTGGCCTTCTCAACAACAAAGCTCTCAGTTAGAGTGCTAATTGCATGTTTGCTAAGATTATAGGATTAGCAGCCATTATATTGCATAATTAAAGAAAAAAAACTCTGAAGGCCGTCTTATAGTTTTTAACATTGTGAACCATTTTATTTGATCTCCTTGCTGGTAAAATGCGTGCTTGGCCTTTGTTTTGGTTCACAGGTGGCAATGGCAACAGCTGCCAAAGCAAAACTCCTCCTCCGTGAGCTAAAAACCATCAAAGCAGATCTAGCTTTTGCAAAGGAACGATGTTCTCAGCTGGAGGAAGAAAATAAAATCCTTAGAGATGCTCATGACAAGGGAGTCAACCCTGCAGATGATGATATGGTATTCATATATTTTCTTCGTGCAGCTATAAGTAATACTAATGGCATCTGTTCACTTATTGTTACTCTTGCTTGATATCTCCATAAAAGAGATTTAGTATGAGGATGAGATGTAGGTGAGTTGGCTGTGCTAACACTCGTCAAGTTATTGTGTATGCTACATGTGTCCACACACACCACTACAAGCAAATAGTATGTATACAGATGAACTCGTGGTGATGAAAGAAAATTCTCATAGCAATGAGCTGGATGGACAATTTGTTGCAGTGTGCATTGCTTGAGGGTGAATTTATGATGAATGCCTTTCTGTCGCAATACCATTGTTGATTGACATTATTAGACACTAATAAGTTCCAATTTGTAATCATAAGTTGACACTATATTTACTGTATTATCTTTGCAATCTCAGATACGCCTTCAACTTGAGACCCTTTTGGCTGAGAAGGCTCGCTTGGCACATGAGAACTCTGTATTTGCTCGTGAGAACCGCTTCTTGAGGGAAATTGTTGAATACCACCAACTCACCATGCAGGATGTTGTGTATTTAGACGAGGGCATTGAGGAGGTTACTGAAGTTTATCCCGTCTGTGCAGTCTCCAGGACACTCTCAGTTTCCCCACTCTCACCTTCGTCCCCACGCTCACCTCCTGAGAGTTCCTTATCTAACAGCCCTCCATCAAGGAAGGAAATGATTTTTGATGATGTTCCTCAGGCTGAGACACCACCAAGTTCCAGTAGTCTAATTTCCACAGCACAGCATTCAACAAGACACTCAAATGCTTCTTCCTAGTGAAATCTGTCTAGTATCTCTTTTCATTGAAGGTTTGTGTAAAATTAGTCCATTTTTTTATTCATTTCTTGGCCTTTTCCCTTTTCTTTTTTTTTTTTTTTTTGAAGGGGGGGGGGGGGGGGAAGGTGTTGGTGAAGTTGGAGACGAGAGTTGAGGATTGGAAATCTTTTTCTTTTTTTTCCATTGCTATATTCATTATTTTTTTCCCTGTACGTAACTGTGTGATCTATTTGGCTCTGTTATTAAATAATTACAGAAAATTGATTTCCCCCTTAAAGAAGATAACCACAGTTCTCCTCTTTTTCTTCCAAGATGTTCGTGTTAGACTCACATTGTACGTACATGATCTGGTGGTGTAGACATTGATGTAAACTTCTAAATTAATTTTCATAGTTTATTCACTCCATGCATGTCCCATAAAATTATTTTAAAAAAAAAACTACTGAACAGTTCAATGCTATGTAAACCCAACCTAACATCCAGCTTATGCTCTACCAGTGGTGTGATATTCACCATTTACAACCTTGCTGGTTTGCAATTTTTGTGCAGGGCTCTACATTCTTCTCCAGCCAAAATTCATTTCATATTATTACATGCTCTTCTCAACTATCCACAAACAATACCTTCCCCTCAATTCTTTTAAGTTTAATGAACACATAACCCCTTAGTAATAGCACACAAAACACTGAAATCATCATTGAAAGTGGAAATGCTTTAATATCAATACGAAAATATATATATCCCGGATGCATACGAAGGCAACAAATGTAATTCATTCACAAAAAAGAAACTTTCATACATCATTAGACCTCGAAGTAAGTTTCTGTAGTTCAAAGGATTCATTACATACAGTTAATCTTTTTGATACAACATATATCAACATATAGCCAGTGCAGTTGCTAACCAGCCACTTCTGTCTAATTTACAGCAGCAAGCCAAGAACATGGCCTGGCACGATTCTGTCAGCTTTACCTGTATGGGTGATATATATATATATATATATGATAAGGAGACGGCTGCTTTAAGCAAGGTTTTAAGCTTCAAAGCAGAAAAACTCCCTGGAGGCATCATTGTAGTGGTTGATTTTACTAGAATAACTGAAAAAACAGACTAGTCGATCCATCACCAAATGATCTGAGATCTGCAGGTTTCACCAAAGCCCTGCACAATGGGCAAGTTCTTTCCCTCTCAAACCTGGAAACACAGGACTGGGTCATTAAATGCAGAAAGCCGACATAGAAAAATCTTATACAAGCTATATACGCTGAAAAATTGACCCCCCAAAAATGATTAGATCGCAGGATGAAATCCTGCACTTTTTATTTGCCCTTCCACTAGAGAGAGAATGGAAATGGTGAATTCTGTAAACTCTTTGAATAAAAGTGAATTGTGGCCCTTGGTTTTCCCATGGAGATTTGTGTAGATGTCTTTCAGTTGACAGATGTCTTGATTGGCACATTGAATTGAATTACAATCATATTACCGTTGGGTTTTGAATTTTAATTGTATAAAAATTACATAAGATTTGGTGGCTTATTCACCCCCCTCTAGCCACAAACTTGCCCATCTCCACTATTTCAAAGGTCATGCCATGAAATTTCTTATCATGCATTTTCTATAAATAGATTAAACACATTTGTTAGACCTCCAAAACCATATGTTACTTTAGGCTTCCAAATTCAAGTTCAAGTAGTGTTGGGTGATTGATTTAGCTATACAATTAACAGGTACTTTATCTACTCACTTCTTGTTTCAAGAGGTGGATATGTTACAGTATTTTGTCAAGAGAACATAAAAATGCTGTAAACAGCAAGTACCGACCACAATAAATCACAAATTCAAGAAATAATTGCAATTTGAAGTCTGAATGTTCTGCTGAACAACCAACATTCAAGTATACAAATACAGAGCTGAATGGAGGAGAAAACTAACCATTCCAATACACAGTCTTCACAAAATATGTGTTTACATCGCAGTAAGATTGGAGTGTGCATTTTTTCCTGGCAGATAGCACAAAGATCACCAGCTGCACTGACCTGCATTCAATCACATCAAACCAAAAGCGTCAATAACTTCTGTTCACTTTTTCCCACAACACATCACTTTACAGAAAAACCATAGTCATTTAGCAACAGGACAAATCCAAAAATCTTCTTCATTAACTGAATGATAGAACATGAAGTCACACAACAGAATATCAAAGAGAGGGGAATGAAGGCAAGGTGTGGCTGCAGTAACATGTGATCAAAGTATATCAAATACTGGAGGGTAACCTTTGCAGACAGCAATAAACCAATTACACTATGTGGCACACAATGTCTTCCAACATGCCCACAGAAGAGGTTAACCAAATTAAGCATATTGATGCAGATACGAAAATGAGACTAGAGTATGCAGAACCAGCCAATGATGAGAATCTAATCTAATCATAATAAATGAACATAATCCACAGCACAGACAAGGAAAGTCGATATAAAGGCTCAACAGTAAATAAATAAAAATAACATGCCAAGAAGGTAATGGGTTGGAGTTGTGACAAAAGATTTTATCAGTGTTAAAAAGATTCATTTAGCCACTCCTCAAAAGATGTAATCAGTCCCGTTGAAAGTCATTCAGCTAATGCAGAGATGTAATGCAAGGATATAATTGCAGAAATTTGCGCCCCTTAAGTTTAAGAAAACAAGAAAAACTCTTGTGCTTGCTTCATTTATTCCTTCAATTGCAAATGCAACTAGTTGAGATATTGCCAATTTAAGCCTACAAAACAAAAATCCAACCATAGCCTTTGGCTTTGTTTCCTGGATCTTTTGCAAATTATATATTAGGCATTCTTTCTTCTAGTTATCTGTGGTGATGACAAAGTGAATACACAGATTACCCTAGCACCCATAAGTTGCCATAGTCATGCAAGAACTCCAATTAAACCTACTCAAGTTTTTATCTCCAGTGTCCTACCCAAATTAGTTCAACGACAAGCACAGCAGGAGAATTAACTGGTGCACATTTTGATTTTAGTTTTTTCCACGACTTCACTAGTAAGACATCTTTGATCAGATCAGATATATGGGGTGAAATCGCCATGGGTAAGGAAGTCAGGTGCTTATGTCTAATACCACAAGAAACAATCATACGCTCACATGAGCAACGCCTCAACCAAATCATGGAATCCTATGTTGATAATGCAAAAAAGGATTCCTAATGCTTTCATTGACTCTCTGCTCTGTATGTGAACTAAAATAGATGGATTGGATAGTGGTTTCCTAAGAACATTTTGATATTGATGTTTTGGATAGTGATATCCTTCAAGAACTTCATATACAACAAATATCATAACTACATGCAGAAATATAAGGGAAAAGAAAAGTATTCCAAAGAGATATTCATATGTGACAGTTGCACAGCAGGGTTGCATTACCTGCTCTGATGTGGCATGAGCACCATAATGAATCTCTTTGTGAGACAATGCCTTTAAAGCAGCAAAGAAAGATTGAACCTGAACACCACCAATGCAGAGGGAAGTTACAGAAGAAAAGAAATAAGTTCCATGTATAAAAAGTTACTCTACTTACAAAATACCAGCCATTACAAGTAGATCACAAATTTTTCAACAACAAAAAACCACTGACCAGTGTTGAGGCCATACATACACCCAAAAAGAACATACCTTCTCAACCACAGATGTCAGCTTGAAAGTCAGGTACAGCCCTGTCATTAATGATGAAAAAAGGCTCCCGTATTCTTTGTTCAAGAAGAAACGATACCAGACTGGTGCTGGAAGCAAGGCACGGTACAGCAGCAGCAGATACTCAACCAAAGTTAGCATTTGACCCTGTAAAACAAGCAGCTCAACAATCAGAGAACAATTGCATTTCAAGCAACTATCATTATATGAACCAAAATGAATTTTCTAACTGCACAAGTCAAGATGAACAACCTGCTTCCGGTAATTTCGGCCTCTGCTGTTCTTGTAGTACATTAGTAGAATACACTTGAGAACCATTGCTACCTGACGAACCAAAGTATCTAAAACAAAGCAACATTGAAGAATTATCGCCGAGGCACTGAAAAATGACCAACAGAATCACTGAAAAAATAAAATCACGTATGCCAAAAACCTTAATGACATGTTTGGACCTTGGAATTGTCAAGGCCCTAGGGAAAAGAAAATGAAAAGTAAAACAAATTACTTATACAAATTTATTTTTTTATAGTTAACTAAACAAAAATAAAAATGATTTTTTGCCAAATATCTGTTCATGTGCTTCTCATTTTCCTAACTCAACCAAAAAATTAAAAAAAATAAAATAAATTAGAGCTTCTTTCAGTTTATTTTCTTTTCCCTCCACAAATCCAAGATCCAAACAAAGCATAAAGACAATCAAACTTGAAAGGAAAAAAGCCAATATTGACACTTGAATTATTGATGCCTGATACGATACAACATTTAGAAGAAGAAGAAGAAGAAGAAAGAGATGGTGATGATGATGATGATAAAGAAGACGATGACAAGGAGGAAAAAAAGAACTTGAAATGTGATTAACTAAGAAAAGAAAAGCGCTCTTAAAATTTTCCCTTAGTAAAAAAACGAAGTAAACAACTAATAAGATTTAGGAGGAAAAAAGCCAGCAGCCCACAAGAGAAGTGGAAATGAAAAGGGGAATAAAAAATTCTATTTAGGAAACTGTCATCATGATTACCCTAAGAACGAAGTAAATGAATGCAAGTACTATGAGATGCAAATTTCTCCACTACACCTTATATAATGTACATCAATTAAAAAAGTAGCCACAACAAATGACCAAGTGACAAAACCCACCATTCACCAAAATGATGAATATAGCATGCCAAAAGGGGGGAATAACTTTTGGAGGAAGCATCATTAGTGGATACAAAAGATCATCATTTCGATACCACCAGTAAACACCAATCACATGAAGCATAAACACAAAAGAGATGCCGACGAGAACAGATATTTTCCTCTCACCCTGCAGACAGACATTGCTATGTTTAATAATGAAAGTTTTAGGATATTAAAAAAATGGCAGTAACCATTATGGCATATAGATCAGTAAACCAAAACAAAGGTTGAATAGTGAAGAGCATTTTACAGCACCTTCAGAGCTGTTTGCTTTCGTAAAAATTCATTCGACTTGAACATCACAGCAGCAATCCAAATTGTAACAAAAAAACCTGCACCCTCGCAATAAGTCAAATGTCAGTGTCTTGAAAAATGATTTTGAAGAATTGAACATCCAATAGAAGTGATGTAGATACATGTATCCAGATTTCCTACGCAGCAAGCCACGTCACTGTTGGGGAGTTGGTTCAAACCTCCCCTTCTTATAAGGCATGACTTCAACCTTGGCTCTGTGCCTTGCCTTACTTGGCTAAGCTCGGCTCTGCGCCTTGCCCAGTGCAAGCTATAATTAGAACCCTGATGATGCCATGCCAGCCTATAGATTAGGAACAGGGCAGCCTACAGATTAGGAACAAGGCCTAGGAGCCCCAAGAGATTGGTGCCTCGGCTGCTCATGATCACCAGAGGATTTGTTGCTTGGAGGCTAGAGTCAAGGTGCCTCGTCATCCCCTTCCTTAAAGGGACTTGCATCTTGACCAATTCTTTTTTTAGAGGCATGCCTTCACAAGAAGACAATGCCTTAGGCGAATGCAAGTGATACACTTCATAAGGTTTATTGGTGCAATTGGGTCAAGGGGATGAACCACCTGACCTTGAGTATGGGACACACCGTGCAAGGGTGAGCTAACCCCCATGGCTTGACCCTCTTATAAAAGGAGGCCCCCGCCTCCGCCTCCACCCAAAGATATATAAACAGTAGAGATCATCTCCTCCCACAAGCTTGAACCTCCATTGCCTCCCTCTCTCAACTCCACCACCACTAGTGGTCTTATGTAAGCTCAGTGCTTACTATAACTCCCACAGGCCCATAATCTGTCCACTGACCAACGACTGCTCACAATTGATGAACACAATTATCAAAACACTGAACATGCTTAACTTAAAATTTCTAAAAAGCAAAATTAGAGATGGCTAAACATATATATTAATAGAAGCACTCGAGATGCTATAGTTTCCTCCCTAGATATATCAACCAAAGAAGTATGAAGGAAAACATAGAGCAGAACATGCCAAATTAATGACCAAAGTGGGAAAAGATAGCATTTCAGCATAACATACAACAAGCCCAAGTCAAAAAAGAAATCAACTGGCTAATGATGTAGCTTATAAAACTTTGCTAAACTTAAATTAGGCCTACAACACAAAGGATAGAAGTTGATAATTAAAAAGAACAAAACGAGTAACATACAAATATTGATTTGACTACGGAATCTAGAATTGTACTCCCATGGAAAGGAATGTTAAAGTTGAAAAAAAGCCAAATCCTTTGAATACTTGTTGCGGAGTCGACAAATCATACTCCCTATAAATGGCACCATAAAGACAATTCCCCTTTTGTCAATCGATCTACTGCTAAAGATATTAATGAGCAAAAAAGGAAATATGACCGCTATATGGAGGGAGAAAAAAGTCATGCAAGTATATAGAGGTGAAGAATTTCACCAAAACAAAGCAGGACTCTGTGTACAACCATGGTCACCAAATACGAAATATCTCTGGTACACAAAGAAAATGTGGATGTCCACGTTTTTTTTGGATAAGTATCCATGCTAGTTTTTATACCCACTTAGTGATTTGAACATAAAAAAGCAAGCATGCACATTGATGGACCAGATATGGCTTAGTTGGACAAGAAATATCCACTTTGAAAACCTAAACAAAGACTATAGCCTCTACACCTCACAAGAAGACTTCTCGGACTAAAAGTGTTTTATAGTCACATTTTTAGTTTATATAGGGTTAGATTACTGCTAGTTGTTTTCTTTATGTTCGGTTATGTCTAGAATCAAGACATTTTAGTAATTTTAAGAATTGTCGGGCATGGGTTGCAGTTCTATTCAATAGACTTGAATTTCGGAGAATTTGCTATTGAATTATTGTGTTCATGAGATTTTGTTTAGCCATTGTGAGGGCAAGTCTTTCTCCACTCTCTCTTGCTGTTCCTTTACTCCTTTTTTTCTCTGCACAAACAAGGACTTTACTGTTAGCGAGTCACTGTTCACAACCAAATAAAAACCCCTTTATATCCCAAAAACACTAGCCAATCAAGAATAAATCATCCCCAACCCTTCCCATACTCATTTGGCCATTAAATGCACTTCTTAACACCATAAAATAGTAGCTGTCCATAAATTTTCTGCAGCTATAATTCTTCAAAGTCCAACAACCTAAAACTTATAAAAATAAGACAAAACAAACCTTTGGGAAGAAAGAAAAAAGCTTGCTTTTGGCTTATTTTCAAAATGCCAAAAGCCAGTTTATTTGAGCAGAAAAGCATTTGGGAAGTTGGAAATAAGCCAACGAGCGAAATTACCAAAATAGCCTCTTGTGTGTGAATATGCCAAACAAAAAAAGCAAAATTGCATGAGGGTACTATGGTCAATTGATAATTTTGCAAGTGATGTGACACCACATTAAAATAATTTTGAAAAAAGCAAAAAAGCTGCTTATTTCCATCTTCTCAAATGATTTTGTGAATAAGCCAAAAAGTAAGGAAATAAGCAAAAAAACTGCTTATTTCCATCTTTCCAAAATAGGAAGCCTTCTTTCATCTTACAAAACCCTAACCCAAGCAACTTTCAAAGCCAAAACCCACAATAAAATCCACACATAGGTAGCCTAGGGTCTAGTTTCCTAACATATCCTACATTACACACACACACAGTTCAATTTCTTCAATCCTAGCATTTGTATGCATCATCCTAGTGGGAAAAGAAACACACACACACTTGGCATTGCTCTCCCTGGAATTTGGATATTACTAGAGTTCTACAACATGCCAAGATAGTTTTTGCACTACAAGAAGGACAAGTGATTTAGAAGCATCCACCACATGAGCAAAGGGAGTTGGGGAAAAAAGAAAGAATGAAGGGAAAGAAAAGCATGCAAGCAAGACTAGACAACACAAAACAAAATTTAGATGAAATCCTCAAAAGTATTAGGAAATTCTCGATATATTTCTGGACATTAATCAAGATTGTCTTCTATAGAAAAATTATTTGATCTTCACTAGAGAAGTTAAAATTGCCATCCGATGTCTCCAACAAGATTATCTTAATGCATCCTCCTTTAATATCAAGTTGGCCAACATCTAGTATATATTACTGAGAGCTACTTTAAGGTGGATGCATCCTTTTGTTCAAGACCATGAAATGACACCATAACTCCATCTTTACGACTATCCTTGCAATTTTTCCTCGTCCCCATACCAAATCAAACATATTTTCGTTGATTTTTATTTAGGGCAAATTTCAATTTAACCCCTTATGGTTTGGCCCATGTGCAGATTACCACCTAGTCATTTAGAAATAACCAATTCACCTCCTTATAGTTTGTGGACTAAAATGAACCAATAACATCTGTAACAACCCTTGTAAATTGATAAAAATACCCTTATGTCTTCATCTACTATGCACAAAACCTTTGGGTATATATATATATATATATTTTTTATTGGCACTAAGGTGTCCGGATCAAAGTCCAACTAATCCCCAAAGGTGCATAAACCCTTGGCAAAGAGTTTCCCGCAAGTGCACCACGATTAATGCAAAGGTTTTTCCTCCTAGTCTAATAGCCCAAAAGAATTGTTAGCACCTAAAAGGTTACAAAACCTGTAGATATATATAATATATCTATACTAATATATAAAGCAAACACTAAGAAACTTGCAACCCCTACTTGGAGAGAGGTAGGGATACTAGTACATAAATATATATACACACATATACATATATGTGTATAAACTTGCCACCCTTACTTCTCCCTCTTTTCCCTAGTAGCCACACTTCTCTCCCAGCACATGTCATTTTTAATAATAGAAGAAGAAAGACACTCTCGCTCCCCTTGAACAAGTGGTGTTGTATTTGAATCTCAATTACAAATGCATATTTTCTTATGGAATCTCAATCATAATTTTGTAGCTTCCATTGTTAAAACGTGTAAAGATATGGAAGGGTTTATTCTCATTGAGAGAGAGAGAAAGGAATTGGGTGTATGTCTTCCTCATGGCTGGTCATTCTTATATATACACTAGTTTAAAAAGACACGTGCTATTATTGCAGTTTATTTAAGTTGTGTATTTTCATAATTTTTTAAAAATTAAAATATTGTTCTATGATATTGAATAGAATAAATCATTACATATATAATAGAATTATGTGGTATGATATGTATCATTTTTTGATTTGTTATACAACCAATGATGTAGACTCCAATTTTATTATATTTTGGGTGAATTTATAAGTCTTTAACATTTCTTCTAAATTTATAATTAAAAAAAAAAGAAATTATGGTGTGTAACTTTTCTCAACAAATAAATATAAAATAAATACTAAGATAATTCTATCATATAAAAAAAACTACTAAGATAATTCACTGAACTAATAAAGAAATAAAAGAAAATACATATATATATATACAAATAACTAATTTTATTATGAAATAAATCATACTCGCAAAACGAATGATCAATTTTATTAATAAATAAATCATTAAGTAAATTCACAATTTGTAATATATGAAAAAAAAATTTCAGTTAATCATTTTGTTAATAAATAAATCATTAAGTCAATTAATAGTTTTTAATGCCATGAGAAATAATTTTCAATAAACAATTTTGATAATTTATTATTGCATAGGAGAATTGGTTTTTTTCCCCCCTAAGTATTATGTTAAATGAAATCTTATAACAAACGGTAGTTGTAATTTCTAATATTATAGGACCAATTCTTATTTTAAACAAATCTTATGGGTGTATTTGTAATTTGTTAAAAAATAAAAGATTTATATTTCATAATTGACCAAGAATGTTTGTATAATTACGAAAAAACCTATTTCATGATTGACCAAGAATGTTTGCGTAATTACGAAAAATTTTGTTACATAATTGACCGACAATGTTTACATAATTATGAAAAAAACCTGCACTTAACATACAGGTCACCATTAGTAAATTATTCAAAAATAAAAGCGTACAATCAAACAAATCTTATGGGTGTATTTGTAATTTGTTAAAAAATAAAAGATTTATATTTCATAATTGACCAAGAATGTTTGTATAATTACGAAAAAACCTATTTCATGATTGACCGAGAATGTTTGCGTAATTACGAAAAATTTTGTTACATAATTGACCGAGAATGTTTACATAATTACGAAAAAAACCTGCACTTAACATACAGGTCACCATTAGTAAATTATTCAAAAATAAAAGGGTACAATCGGAAAGAAAAGACGAATCTCAAGCAGCTGAGCAGTTCTTATATATAAAGATATATATATGTGTGTGTGTGTGTGTGTGTGTGTGGGTGGGTGATACATGAGAAAAAGTGGCAGCATCGCTCAATTTATGATCATAACTTCAAAGCTTAATTTATGATTGTGACGTGCTAAATAGACGTTGTGGGTGTGGTGGATCGGTGGCCAATGGCCATTGTTCGTCATCAAATGGTGTGTCAATCAGAATTATGAATGTGTTGTCATATATAGTATATTTTTGTGTGGGATTGAAAGAGCAGGTTGCAAAGCATGTGTAATATGTGTGTATATTTGGTGTGGTGTAATGTAATGAATGATTCTAAAATAGATGTACAGCAAATTTAAGAATCTTCCAGAACTATAAATGAGCAACAAATGAAAATCAGTTTCCATTTCCAGGTCATCTCTAGGCTGCTGCATGTCCCATTATGTGTGGTTCTTAGTGTTCTTTTGGGTTGGCATGCCACTTCATTTTGCAAAGTAACGGTAAGATATAGAGCATGCTGTTTCACTGGTTGTTGTGGGATGTGTGGTGTGATGCATGATGGATGATGAGGGTGTTAATGGTTGTTGTCGTTTCTGTGGTGTGATCCATGAAAATGGGATGGCAAGAAATAAGGGGTTGCAGATAATGACATAAGAAGGAACATGACAATAGCATGCAACTTTTAAGAATTACGAGAACATTTTTATTCTGAAAACAAGGCTCACTATCAACAAAGGCACGAGAATAACACTCAGTTAATTTGGATAGAAACCGTAACAATGCATTTCAGTCCACAAATCATAAAGGGGTGAAGTGGTTATTTCTAAATGATAAGGGGCAATGTGCATATGAGCCAAACCACAAGGGGATAAACTGAAATTTGCCCTTTTATTTATACTTGCTCAAAACAAGTGCCACTAGAGAGTCTTCATCTTCTCGGCCTATTGAGGACCGGCAATCAAACCGAACTTGTGACCTTAATTTAGAAGATTCCTCCACACTAGAAGATTAACTTCCTAATCTTGTTCATCGACACTCACTAGAATTTCATCTGACATAGGAGAAATAAATGAACTCTGGGCTGTTACGAGACTCTTTATATCTTGTTGATTGCAATTGTTTCCATTGATAATGGTAACTATCAGCTCCCACTTTTCTTGGCTTTCCCTTACCTATACTCCTAATATCAGGCTATGGCATTAAGAAGCAAGGTAGCTACAAGCCAGTTATGCATAAAGACACATAATTGGATATCAAGAAGACTGTAAGCCTATAGCCCAAATAAATCAAACGGGTTCCCATCACTAAGTCAAACAACATTGAAGGAAAAAAAAATTAAAAAAAGCAAATAACAGTAAATAAAAACAGGATCCTGATAAGTCTCAAAGCTCACAATCATTTGAACATTTTGGTAAAATGAAAAGTGGCTACCAACCTGTGTCAGCTATACTAGGACAGAATTAACTGATACACACATGATTTCTCCATCCAATTGAAGAATGGCAACCATAGCTAATAAATCGAATATGGAAATTGTCAAAGCATACCTTGCAGATGCTGGCGAATGAATATGACCAAGAGCAGCAGAGAGAATGGAAGGATATGCTCAATCCACCTCGCAGCCTGCTGTATGTCGTATCTCTGGTACAAAGAATCCCTGCTATTAGCCCCAGCCCCATCAACGCCTCCTCCATTCAGTGATTGTGAAACACTCTCTCCTGCCCCTCGATCACTCCTGGAATCTCCCTGACCGTCCAATGCTGACGACACTGATGTGGCTGATGCCGTTCTACCAATAGGCTGGACATATACTTGATTCTCTGCAGTCACTTCCCTCATCTGGGCAAGTGTTGAAGAAGGCAGCACAGTCCCAGACCGATCATGGTCCTGCTCACCAGCACCAATTATCCTGATAGCAACTTCCCCGCCATTGGCAGGCACAGCAGAATCATTGTTAACATGATCCTGGAAACCAACAGAGACGCCGCTGTTTATCAACCTACCAGATTCCGGGTGACTAGACCTGGTTCGGAGGATGCCCGAGTATTCCAACAATGTAGACAGCGGGGAATTTAAAAAATTCAACACAGAGAATTGCATTCCGTGTCTTCTGGAGCTGCTGCTGCTCATGGAAGAATCCCTGTAGGCGTCCGAATTACCAGCAGATGCTTCCATTTGCGCGGATGAACTAGAACTAGAACTAGACCTAGACGTTACCCTAACCCTAAAACGAAATTTGACCAAGTTCAACAGCATTATTAGTAGGCCATATAAATTTATTATAAAATGTTGAACTTTTCAAATAAAACAAGATATATATATATATATATGTGGGGCGTTGATACAAGAAGAAGAAGAAGATGGACGATGACATATATGGAAGAATATGGTTACCTTCGAGATCGAAACGCCGTTGAAGACTTCTTTTTTTGGGGTCTGAGAATCAGATGATAACAGGAAGATTCATTCAATCAAAAACCCTAACCCTAGAAATGATGGACGAATTGTCAGAGGTTGGGTTAGGAGAAAACAATAAGTCAATGAGGAGGTGGATGACTGGAGGACCGCAACAAAGAATCGCATTTTTTTGTTTGTTTGTTTTGTTTTATTAAAAGGCCGCCGATGACCCAAAAAAATGGTGGATGGCGTGGCCAGTGCGATGCTCTCTTGACTTTGATCAGTGGCGTCTTTCTTTACTAGTACTACTTCTTCTTCTTCTTCTTCTTCTACTTCTTACTACTTGCGATCAAAGTCTGCGAAAGGGACAGCATCAAAAACAGAAAAAGATGACGATGAGGCTTGTCAATTGTACCATTACAATTCTCAGTTCAGACCTCTCTCTCTCTCTCGGCGAGACAGACAACGAGAAGAGAGAGCCAAAGAACACAACACAAGGAAAACAACATCTAACCTGCTGCTCTTAAATTTGACGGTAAATTCACACTGGCACGGGAAAGCTAGCAGTACAACCACTGGTTGCGTCTTGTTTGTTTGGGATTGCTAAATTAATATTTCTTTTTATTTTTTATGAAAAAATATAAAATATAGATTAAGGCCTATTTTGGCATCATGGTTTGTAGTCACTTTTTTTTTTGTTAATAGCAAAAGTTAAAAGTTGGCTTTTTTATCTTTTTTTTCATTTGAGATGTTGGTTTTTAGCCAACGGTGAAATTACAATTTTACCCATCATGGGTCAAAATGTGTTACATATGTGAAATTGTAAATATTTTAAATAAATGGGGGTAATTTGGTCATTTTATTATGATTTGACATCATAAACAAACATTAATAAAAAAATTCAAAAGTCAATGGTAGTAGGCATTTTACCTATCTAAATATTACTATAAAGTAGACATTTTATTTTGCCTATCAACGATTTCATGTTTCTGTCCCAACCATACTCTTTATTTTAGCTATTCATCCAAATACTATTAACTTTATAGAATGCCACGTTAGCAACAAAGATGGAGGGAAATAATCTTAATGATTAAATACATTTTGCCTAGCCTTGAAGGCTAGCTACATGTAGCTAGTGAATGTAAGCTAAATGGGGGTAATTTGGTCATTTTATTATGATTTGACATCATAAACAAATATTAATAAAAAAAAGTCAAAAGTCACTTTTTACCAACTTCCCAAATCATTTGTCTAAAAAAGCCAAAAGCTTGGTTAAAAGTCAAAAAGTCACTTTTTACTATCTTTCCAAAACAACCCTAAGGCTAACTTAAAAAAGTCAAAAAGTTACTATTATATTTAAGTCATATCATCTTATTTAAATTACATCACCTCTTTACCACATCACTTCAAACCCAACTCATATTTCAAAAAAAGTCAAAAAGTATACTTATTTAGATCATCTCGAACAACTCTTAGTTTGAAGTGATGTGGTAAATAGATAATATGTCTCAAATAAGAAATGATGTGATCTAAATAAGATGATTGTAACTCAAATAAGATGATATGTTAAAATAGGATGTGCTATTTTAGCACATGCCAAACAACTACTTTATAATTAAAAAAGTACAAAGGTAAATTACAAATACATTTTTTGATATTTACTTAAAATACGAATTACTCCTTATGGTTTGAAAAATTACAAATATCTCTCTTTTAGAATTTTGTATTTAACAGAATTAATTAAAAAAGTGAAATTTCCAACTGTTCACCTATACAATAATAAAATTATTAGAATTATTAATTGAAATAAAATTTTAATATTATTAAAAACTGTTAATTAACTTGATAATTTATTAATAAAATGACCTATTTGTTATAAAATTAGAAACTTTAAGAGACATAATGTAATTTCTAAAATCACAGGATTTCGTGAACCATAGAGGGTAATATGTAATTTAAGTAAATCTCAGGAGGTGTAGTTGTAATTTATCTAAAAATAAAAATAGTATAGTTTCATATTTTTTAATTATAATTAAATAATATATGAGACATAATTAAAGATTTCATATATTATAGTAATGAAAATAAAATTATTACTAAATAAAAAAATTAATCATAACTAAAAAAAAATATCATATTTTAAAGGGCAAATTACATATATCTCCTCGAGGTTTGGCTAAATTACAAATACCCCCTGAAGTTTGAGAAATTACAAATTTTTCCTTGAATGTTATATTTGCATGACAAATTAGGGAGTAATTTGTTATGAAATTTAAATCTCAGGAGGCAAATTGTTATGAAAATACAAACCTTAGAGGGCGGGATGTAATTTTTAAAACTTCAAAAAATATCTGTAATTTAACCAAACGAGGTATATGTAATTTGCCCTATTTTAAAAGTGCATATCATAAAAACTATGTATAGTAAAATTTCTCTATTTACACGTAGAGACAAGCAGTCATCCCATTCACCCATTAAAAAAATACTATCTATTCACTCTTCTTAATTCATAATTTATTTCAAATATATTTATGTGATGAAAATTAAATTAATAGTGTAAAATGTAAAATTAATTTAAATTATTAATTTTTTTTTTAAAATAAATTCTAAATTTATAAATCAAAATTTATACTTATTGTTGTTGACCAATTATTTACTGTTTACATGGATAATAACGTTCCCCTTATTTACAAACGGAATTTGTCAGTCTATTTCTATTAAGGCCTTGTTAAGCATATATTAGAAAAGGCAAAAAGTTACAAATAGGGGGTTGGTTCAGTGGATAAGACCTTCGAATCCCTCGCTCAAGGCTTGGGTTCGAGTCTCCATAGTCCCTTGTTGAGGTTAAACATACTCCTTAGCGCCTGAAGCACGCGGGGCCTAAGTTTCGGCCCCGACGTAGGTGCGGTGGGGTTCCCTACAGATATGTTGTAGGTGCTAAGAAGTAGGTGCGGTGGGGTTCTCTACAGATATGTTGTAGGTGCTAAGGGACAATACTCCCTGACGGATATGTTGGAGTAGCCTATCTGCATATCTATTTTTCTATATATAAAAAAAAAAAGAAAAGTCAAAAAGTTACTATTCTATTTAAATCACAACATCTTCATTACCTCTTTATCACATCACTTCAAACTCAATCTATATTTCATAAAAAATTAAAAAATATACTTATTTAGAATATCTTAAACAATTCCTAACTTATGACATCATCATCATGTCACATAAAACAAATTTTTTCATCCTTTCATTCTCACTAATTTTCGTCAAATCAATGATATATATAACTTTACTAGGCAAATATATATATATATAATAACTTACATTTTTGTTTTTTATCTTTTAACTTTTTATGATTGGTGTAGTAGCACTAGCACCTAACCTTGGGGGGTCATATGTATAATAGTGAAGTCTTGATCTGAGGAGCAGAGCAAGACAACAAAGAACAAAGTGGCCTTTTCACAGGGAAAATGCCTAAGGCCTCCAGCTGGGGTGCTGGGGGTCGTGCGTATAGGCCATTGATTGGCTCAAAAAAAATTTGTTTGTTTGTATTTTTTTTTTTTTCAGTAAATAAGGGGCCGCCACATTACTGGGAGTCGATCCCACTGTGATTTTTTTCAGCAAAGCTGTTTGCTGGCTGATGGTGATGGTGATTGGTAATGGTAATGGTAAGAGCAAGCTAGCATTCTAACGTTATAGTTGATTGAAAGATTTAGAAAATGATTTGAAAAAAATAAAATAAAATGTTTGTGAAATTAGATATAATATTAATATATTTTTTATATATTTTTTTTCTTTGTTAAATTTCTTTTCAAATCTTTTAATCAAACATAATGTAAATATTTTATCAAATATTTTATTAAATGTTTTCTATTTTATGTGAGATTCACATAAAATTCATATAGTGCAAGTGTCATATTTATATAAAATATTTAAAATTATTAATATTTTTTTTTAACGATAATGATAATTGTAATGGGTATGGCCTCCAGTCTAGTCTTCTCTCCACTCCACTCACTTAGACCATTTCCAACGGTGGTATCAGATTCAAATTTTGATGAAAAAGGTACTTTTTTATGCTCCAACCGTTGCACCAGATTGATATCAAAATGAGATTTCAGCAAAAAAAGCATCAAACTGAGAACGAGACACAGATTTTATCAAATCACTGTTACTGATCGTTGAAAGAGGTACACCGGTCAACCAGCCGGTTGCCCGGCCGGTCGACCAACCGGTCGACCGCCTAAAGGTTCAAACGGTTCGAAGAAAAGGTTCAAACAATAAAAATATATATATATATTTTGCCTAACCGGTCGACCAGCCGGTCGATCACTAAAAGGTTCAAAAAAAAAAAAATTTCGCTTAACCGGTCGACCAACTGGTTGTCCCCGGCACAAATTTGATGAAAGTGCACCGTTGGAGCGAGTAGTATTAAATTTGGTAAAATTGGTCATTTTTTACTCAAATTTAATAAAAAATCTGATTCACCGTTGGAGATGCTCTTAGCCAAACAAAAAACAAAAACAAAAACTGAAAAAAAGATATTTCATTCATCAAATAATAACTACTATTTGCTAGCATGCCGACGGAACTCCCTGACCTGTAAAGACCCGAGCCCACCACCTTGCTTTTTTCTTTCTTGTAGAACTCCTATGCCAATAATATTAAAATAAAATATTGCATGTTATAAATGAGAAGAAAAAAACAAACAAAAATAATAGAGAAATTTACTATTTGAGCTTTAAAGAGGACTCTACACAAGTAGTTAAAAAAAAATAAAATAAAATAACAGGCACACATCACGTCCTGGGTGAGTCTCATCAATTTAGAGCTCCTTTAAACCTTTCTTTCTAAGGCTTTCAATCCTTTAAAAAAAAAAAAAAAAAATTGTTGTACAATTAGTGCTGCTATATACCACTAAAAGTGGTACTTTAAAGCACCATTAGTGAGTTGACATACAATTAAAAAATAAAAAAAAAAAGACACAACAATACTGTGACAGTGGGTGGGGCTCACTGCCACATCATTAGTTCTATTACTAATTAATAGTCTCACACATTTTTTATTATACAATATGATACATGAAAAATGATTTAGAGCACTAAAAAAGAGTATTAGATTGTCTTTTTCCTTCTTGTGTTTTGTCTTTCTCCTCTTTTTTTAGAATTTTTTTTTTTTTAGACATGTCAGCTCACTAGAGCTGCATTTAGTGCTCTTCTCCAGTGGTATGTGTCATAGTTGTATGATATATATGGGGAAAGAAAAAAATAAATAAAAGACAAACAAAAGAACAGAGACACACAGACACAGATTTGCATTTAATAATTTGCGCCAGTCAATATTAAAATTTAGCAAACATGCTTCCCTAAGTAGATTAAGGCCTCTTTTGATAACATAGTTTTTAGTCTTTCTTTTCTTTTTTTTTTTATTTGTAGTAAAAGTTAAAAGTTAATTTTTTTTATTTTTTTTCATTTGAGAGGTTGGTTTTTAGTTAATAGTGAAATTATAATTTTACCCCTCGTGAGTCAAAATGTGCTATATGGGTGAAGTTGTAAATATTTTAAATTAAATG